AACTCCCGAGGATGACGTAGTAACGTCGAAACATGTAGTAGAGTCGTCAACTTTTTTGAAGGCCATAGATAAGCCTAAATAAAATGTTGTTAATTGTGTACCAGTTTAACGTTGAATATTATTTATGATTTTTAGACAATGACATTCTTGGATTTCCTGTACAGTAGAACATGAAATAGGTTCAAAGGGAAAAACTAGTTATTTACAAAAGTAGTCCCAGTTTAGTAACAGTAACTATGAGAGGTGGGTAATCCCGAACAGATCTTTCCAAAGAGTTGCATGAGAAAGCTTATGCTTTATTTTATAGCCTTAAAAATGTAATAAAATCCGGTAGCAAGGTTTTTTAGCTTACAGGCGCATTTAATAATGGATATATACATTTAATCAGTTTCAACTGCGATTTCAATCCCTCGTTTCCCCCTCTATCTTTTTTTTTTTTATCAGGTCTCAGCACGACGACTGAGACATCTCAGATGACAAATATAATCTAAAGTATTAGAATCATACATGCACCCCTCCCTTGTCAAAACGATATTCTCATAATTTACTCCAACAATGGGTGAATACAAACAAGGTATTACTCATTATTATGTTTAACACATGCATTCCTCAACTGGTTGACATCATGTGGTTAGACCAATTAATGAACCCTTTACAACCAGTTTTGCGAAATTTACACAGTTTTTGGTACCTGAGGCTTCATGGACTAAAATGGAATGGAATGAGCTTGACTTGATGAGTTTTATGGAAGAGATTGAGTCAACTTCAGGCCTTATTAACATCCCACAATTTGTATTTAATCACTATAAAAGTTAAAGGTTATGAAACACAAGGCAATGATTTTTGTTGGGGAGGTATTAATTGTTTTATATTATTTTTCAAATTATGGCTTATAATCACACACACACGCACATTCCAGAGTTGCAACAAACTTTTACTGCTGGTAGTAAATAGGAAGTAAAAGTTAAAGACTTGGAGTAAATTAGATCAAAAGTAATCGAAACATCATTTTCATGTTTGAGTGGCTGGGAAAAGTTACATCTTGTGAACTGAAACTTTTAATAAACAGTGTATTCACATCGCTAAAGAAGACCTTACCTTCGAGCCTCTTGGACTGTTCGGCAGGGACCCAAGGCTAACTTTAATATTTGTTTGCTTTATTTTTTTGTATTTGATTTTGGGTTGCAGTACATTGACACGTACTTTATGTGGTTCATATTATTTGTTTATCTTTCATTGATACAGTGCTATCAGCCCTGTTCGTAACTACCATATATATAGATGACATTTTCACATGTCGTAAAATCTTCCTGTTAATTCATAAACTATCTTTAATATATGTATACTTCAGTTTAGCGAGTTCGAAATAGCTAGAGTTGAATAAACAACTTGGATTATTAATGTTCTCATAATGATTGGCGGCCTCGTTGGTTGATAATTCAACCGTTGTGAATATTTCATTAGTACTGATTATTATGTGTGTAGGCTACACGTAGTTACATGCAACAGGTTCCCCCTACCCAAACCTGTTTTCTGATAAACGTATATGAATTAGGTAAAAATATTTATACATTACTCAAAAGTTTTCATATTCAGATGCTCTCCGTAACAAATACGTATAGAAGTTTCATTAACGAACTTCATAAAAAAATATTTAAAAAACTTATAAATAAACGAAACTTCATTGTTATAACTTAATAAAATCAAATATCAAAATAAATCGATTGGTAATCACCTACATTACCACTAAGAGGGCCGAGTCTTCGTTTCAACTATTAGTGTAGATGGATCCATCTTTTAAGGAGTTAGACAATATAACAACCGTTTTTTTAAAGTTTTTACTCATCATGAGTAGTTTAAGTTAATCTGGTTACACTATATCACGAGTGGTTAGGGCGCTCGACTTGCAATCTGAGGGTCGCGGGTTCGAATCCCCGTCACACCAAACATGCTCGCCCTTTCAGCCGTGGGGGCATTATTATGTGACGGTCAATCCCACTATTCGTTGGTAAAAGAGCAGCCCAAGAGTTGGCGGTGGGTGATGATGACTAGTTAGCCTTCCCTCTAGTTTTACACTGCTAAATTAGGGTTCTGCTAGCGCAGATAGCCCTCGTGTAGCTTTGCGCGAAATTCAAAAACAAACAATACTATATCACGAGCGGAGTGACGAGAAATTAATTTTTCTGAACACCCCCGGTTCTTTGAACCATTTTTAAGTTTAAGGTCTAATGGTTTAAAATCGAAATTTCTGTCAAGGTAAAGCGAAACCGTCTGGCTGAATACGTTATTTCCCCGAAAGGGGGCCGAAGGCCGCCTGGAGAAGTCACCTGT